TCAGGAAAACGTGTGTACTGGCAGAGGGCAAGAGAAGGGATAGCAGCACCACTTCCCTCCAGAACAGCCTGGGATGAGTGCTGGGAACTGAGATGAGACACTGTCTAGTGAAGCTTCACCTTCAGAAACAACAGTGTTAGACAAATGACACACAGCTTGGAACAAAGCTGACTCCAGGCTACCAATGCTCCTCCCTAAAACACTGTTAAAAGGAGGCTCTGTGGACAGACAAACATGTTTTTAATTACAGACTTCTGCCTAAAAATACTGAGATATTCCTTATGCACTGGTGACAAAGTTCCAACTGTATAAAAGTTACGGTTAACATTTTCAAATAAATGGTCATAAAACACATGATGGCAACCTGAAAAAGATCAAAACTTGAAGAACTACGTATTTTAATTTTGTCATACTTGACTACAAATAACACCTCTGCAATGGAAGGTCTTCTTAGTATAGTACCATTAGTAACACCTAACAATGCCTGGCAGTCTTCAAAGAAGTTGCTTTCTAACAAAATAAACAAGGAATCTTACAAATACTAACAAACTGATGACATAGAAAATAATTTTCAAGGTTTCCTGAAAGAAATATTGTTGTCTCCGAAGATTTTTTGGTATCCTATGCCCTGTTTGCACTTTCACAATCTCAAAAAACATTGGTTGATAGCAATATCAGTCATGGATTCACTGAGTGGAGACTGGAAAGTCTCCAAGAATGGAGGCTCCAAAACCCCACTGGGCAACCTGCTCCAGTGACACACTGCCCTCCTGGCCAAAACTCATGCTCAGCCTCTCAAGCTGCAGTTTATGACTGCTGCCATCTGGTGCTACCGGAAGCAGTTTGGATTCAATGGTCTTTGCAACTCGCACTCAGTTGGCTGGAGGCTGCTATGAGCTCTGCCCTCAGCCTCCTCTTCAGCACACTGAACGAGCCCAGCTCCCTCAAGTGCGCCCTGTAGGCCACCCGCCCTAGGCCCCTCACCATGCTCACCGCATCCTGCTGGACCCCCTCCAGTTTCTCCAAGTGTTTTTAGCCTGGGGTGCAGGGGGCAAAACTGAGCACAGACTTCCTGGGGGGACCTCACCAGTGCCAGGAAGGGGAGGGTAATAGTGTCCCTGTTTGCCACCATGATCCATAACAAGACTTACACAATCAGACCCCAAACAAGTAACTTTATGAACGTTAAACAGTCCTTTCTCTTTGGAAGTAAACTGGGGGGGGGGGGGGGGGGGGCCCGCCCCAGCTTTTCAGTATCCCTTCCTAAATGCTGATACCAAAATCCACTGGTGTCTTAGCACAAAGCCTTTCTATTCCATATTCTCCCAGTAACACAATAATTACTTCTCTTGCCAATGCACAACATTAGCAGGCCATCTTATGATGCTTTTCTGCCATACCTGTCAATAATCAGATTCACTGCCTGAACAAAGGTGCATGTTCTAAACAGTTTAGCCTGCATAGCCAAATGCAAATGTATATTAATACACACAGTTTACACGGATTAATGTGACCCAAAAGAATCCAGATTATTCCATCTTACCCTCCCTCAGCTATTTTAACATTTATGTTGAAGGCATTAAGAATAATGATTGAAGTTTCTATTTTAAATTGCTAGCAGAAAAAAAGGCTGAAAGGCACCAAGTACGGAATCTTGTTAGATCCATAAAGTCAGTTCTATGATTCTATCGACAGCCGTCAAGCTATTACCAAAGTAGAGCATATGCTAGGATTCATAAGGTATATGTATATGTCAAGCCATACAAAAGTCTGACAATTTAAGTATATTAGATTTATCAAACAAACTTTTCATTTTAAGGAATGCCAATGAAGCTGAATTTCCGTTATGATACAGATAGGAATATACAACGTTAATTATTTTCTATTGAAAAGTAAAACAGACTTTCCTTTATTTTCTCTACTAATCTTGTTATTTCAAGAACTTACCTTTCTCATTTTTACAAGGAACATAGCTTTCGCTCTCTACAATTTCCCACGTACCCTAAATATTCCCTGCTACTCCAATTATAATTTTTTTTTATCTTTAGTATAAGCTAGTGACTCCTTAACTTACCAATGGACTGGAAAGCATTTTAGCATTCATTCTGCATCATCGTGATGCACTTCAATTTTTATGACATTAGAAATTAGAAATGTTTAAGACATTAGAAATCTGCCTCATTATCCTTGGCCCTGCCAGCTATGCTTCCTCATCTACTAGCTTTATCTACCCTTATATTTTTTTTCTATTCCATTTTGGAAAAAAAAAATCCAAAAAGCCACCACCAAGAATGTAGTTTTCCCTCATTTTGGTAAATTTACCAAAGGCAGAGACATTACTGACTAGCACACCACCTTGATTACATGCCGTATGAGTTAATAACTCATTATTGGCTCTGACACAGACATCAACTTCTACTGTAAGGTAATGAAGAACAAGAATGAAAAGGCCAATCTCACATTAGGCACTCTAGTTTTAAATTCAAGCCTAACTTAAAAAAAACCAAAAGTAAAGTTTCTATTATTGGCTACATAAGGGCTTTAGCATATGTAACTCAATAACATGGTGTGCTTAAGATGCAATTCTACTCTAATTCGTAGAAGTTCACTGCTGGCAGTCCTCAGTGGTTTGTTTGGTTTTCACTTTGGTTTATTTTTTTTGCAGACATTGGGTTTTACTAAATATTCAAGAACCTTAAGCAGGACATAAAAATGATTTCAAACCTAGCAGAGCAATTTCCTTAGTTCAGAAGTTTGAAAGATGCCCAGCTTGAATAGAAAACCTAACTCCACAAGGCAGTATTCAAACAGAAACTTCTTTTCCCTGGTAATTAATAAAAGCATCACATAACCTAAATATAAGTTAGGAATACGCTTCTGATCATCTTAGTCCACAAATCCAGAGACAGAAGGATTGGGGTTTAAAGCTTCCTAGCCTCTCCAATTAAGCATACAGGTTTGAAAAAAACAAAATGTGTTAAATTCAAGGTTCCTGACAGTTTGATGAAGATACAAAGCCACAGTATTTTGCAGAAATTTTAAGCAGAAAATCCCATATCCAGGCCTGAAGATCACTAGCTTCACGTGTTACAGCAACAAGAAACAAAGCCAGGAGGGGCAGATGAAGCATTCTTCTGAACGCTCAAAGAGTGTGCACACGAATTCTGAGAAGACCCAGACAAAGGTTGTAGAAGTAGTAGAAATCCTTAGACCTAAGATATCTCCTCATAACAGATGAAGACAAGCATTCCTCCAGGTCTGGAGGGATAAATAACAAAACGGAAATAGCTAGAATGTATATATTTCAATGCTTCTAATGACTGAAATAGATTTAAAGAAGAATCTTAGCTTAGTGAAAACAAAGAAAAGAATACCACGGTCCTCATATGACAATCAAACTGAAGCCTAGTTCTGTTAACTTTTTCCTTAATCACTTGCAACTTCCTCTGATATTAACAACGTTTAAAAGTTCTTAGTAGTGATGATCAGCTAGGATAACATATACTGAAATTTCACGTCACAGTGGAGAAGTAGTACATTCTGAAACAAAGAAAGCTAAAACTGAAAGTAGAAGGTCACTAGGCTGTGAAAGACAACCAAAGAATGAAACCATAATTACAGTCTCCACCATACACCATTATCTTCTTCAAAAGAAGATTAATCTTCTCTTCCTGGAAGCTATGCTAAGCCACATGGAAGACAGAGAGGTGATTCGAGACAGCCAGCATGGCTTCACCAAGGGCAAGTCCTGCCTGACCAACCTAGTGGCCTTCTATGATGGAGTGACTACATCAGTGGACAAGGGAAGGGCTATAGATGTCGTCTACCTGGACCTCTGTAAGGACTTTGACATGGTCCCCCACAACATCCTTCTCTCTAAACTGGAGAGGTATGGACTTGATGGGTGGACTGTCTGGTGGGTGAGGAATTGGTTAGATGGTCACATCCAGAGGGTGGTGGTCAACGGCTCAATGTCCAGGTGGAGATCAGTGACTACTGCGTCCCTCAGGAATCTGTATTGGGACCGGTACTGTTTAATATCTTCATCAATGACATAGACAGTGGGATCGAGTGCACCCTCAGCAAGTTTGCAGATGACACCAAGCTGAGTGGTGCGGTCGACACGTCAGAGGGACGGGATGCCATCCAGAGGGACCTGGACAAGCTCAAGTACTGGGCGCATGTGAACCTCATGAGGTTCAACAAGGCCAAGTGCAAGGTCCTGCACCTGGGTCGGGGCAACCCCCGATATCAATACAGGCTGGGGGATGAAGGA